ATTCCACCGAAATATTTAAATGAATTAATTTCAACATTGGATTTAATCCTATGGTGTACAAAATGGAATGAATGGAGTGTTTTTCTCTCCTTTCAACTTCTTAATTTAATCATCACGCATCACGCAGAGTACTAGGAAAATCAGTAATGATGATCTAAAGAAAGCTTTGTTAGATCACCTGTCCAAATCATCCACGGGTTTGCCTTACCCACCAATTAAATATGAAAGCGATCTTCACTACTGCTCAAGTAGTGTTCATTACTGCGAATATCGCTTCCATATTCACGTCTTTATTCACAGCTCACATATAAGACTTTCACCTAATTTTTTCTCAGAGGGCACGGTAACGAATCTTGCAATCTGATTGGTTAAGGTTGTTAGCGCGGTCCGTATTTTCCTCTCTGCCCACGGGCACGGTAAGTTAAAACGCTTTCGTGAATCGCCGAGTACATCCTTATCTTTGTTGCCATTTTTCATAAATATATCTCGCTTTTCCGGCTGGGCAGTGTTTTTCAGCAAAGACGTTGGTTACTACCTCAAGCTGATAAATAACTTATTATTAATCCTCTTTTTTCTTTCTCTCAAATCACTTTAGTTGACAGAAAAATATTGGTTTCGAAATGAATTTGTATAAGCAATAGTATCAGTAAATTGGTTGACAAGCGGCCTAAAAAACCGTCTGCAATTAATTCAATCCTTCATAAAAAGTACCAAGAAAGTTAAAACGTGAGGTATTTGGTTCCAATTGAATTAATCGATGGAACTTTCATTCATTTAATGTCTGAATTCTCTCAAACAATTTGCTCGTAGTGAAAGGGCGAGCTTCGTTTTCAGTTCTACTATAAATACCCTTTCGGTGAGTCTTTCCGATTTGTACCGTAAATTGCACAACAAAAACTGAAGGAATTCATCGAGGAAAAAGCTGCATTAAATCCCCTTGTGTCTAGTTAAATTGTCTCATTCGAATTTAGTTTTTGTGGAGGAAAGACCAGATTTACGCACGCCATTACAAAAAACAAACGAGCAAACTCTCAGAGCGTTCCCTTCGGTGGAACTTCCTAAGATTTGCTGGACCGTTAAGTATATTTGTGCTCTTCCTAGTGCCTGTTGATTAAAAAAAATTCACGAGACCAAATCTGAGATAGACAAGGAAAACACAAAACTGCAAATAGTAGGAAAATTCCAATGTAACCTCTATTTTTTTCGGATTTTAAATGATCGGTACGACAAACTTCACAATCTGTGAAAATCTTGAGACATTTTGCAGAATCAAATTGAAGAAAATCAAAGGCAAAGCCAAGTTATCCCTGCTCTCGTGGAGCCTTAGCTTCTTAACGAAAATCTTTTTGATAATATTTACTAGCAAACAATGGTCCGAACCTTCCTCATCGCCCTTTTGATGGCTTTTAGTGACCTAGAAAAGCGAAAACATAAAAACTTTCTAGGAAAACGATACACTCCCGCGCGCCAATATTGAACAAAAACCCTAGGGAGCCTCCTTAAGCAAGTAACTAAAACAATCAAACAGATTACCGACATGATGCATGGTTGAGTGTGGCCAAAAACAGTATCTGGCTATCACGACTGCAACTCTCTAAATTTGGGAGGGAATGGCGTAAACTATGTAACCTTATAGTTTATTAACTAAAGAACATGACAACTTTAGATATGGCCTTGAATGATTAGCAAAATGACCTCAGATTCCATCATGAATCTGTAAACCCGATGGTCTGGATCAGCTAACCATATTTAACATTTAGCTTTGGTTTTTATAAAACAATCATATTTAAGCGAATCAATTTATCGACGAAATATGAGGCCTCAGCAATATTTTTCCCTCTTTTCTCGTTTCGCTCTTTCTTTCTTAGAGCGTTTCTTTTTCCGATTAATCAGAAGACTGAAGGTTGCTTCATTATTTGTTTGATTTTGGTTTTTTGCGTGACTCCACTTTCCGGCCGAAATATGTAAAATATCGATCACCATGGATGTAAAGTTGGATGGATGAATAATGAGTTTCTTAAATCATTCTAGTTATACGCAATCTTTTTCAATAATTCAATTCTGGTGGAGAGGGAAAGTTTTAGTCCAAGTATATGGACATCACCAAGGCTTAAACTTGAGGAATCAGGGGGAAAAAATGGAAAAACCTGCCTCTCCAGAACGATAATGGTTTGTTGAACTTCGAATTCATGTCAGTGGATTTGTTTGTTTAGGATGGAGGGAACTGCTGAAACAGCGGCAAAATGTTATAGAATCCCATAAGGAATCCAACTAGGGCCCATCATTCAGTGACTGTATGTGATTTTGACCCTCTCCAATCCCAAAATCCAAGCTACAAAGGTAGGGGTTTAAAAATTTTCATCGTTTGGGAGCAAATGTTTCCTACTCCATTACTCGTACCATTTTTGAGAGATACAGGCTAATCCATGTTTATCGTGAACTCTGGCCACAAATCAAAGCTGAATTGATATAAATGGTATTAAACGTTTCTCTTTCGCCAAAATGAGAAACAGTGATCTTTAATTGAACATCTTCGCCCTTGAAATGCGCCCTAGGTCGCTTGGAAGCTAAGGCCGTGGGCCAGGGCTGTGCTTGTAGCAAAAACGTGTTAAAAATGACATCTTCCTCGGTCACTGCATACGTCTCTGTAATATTGTTTTTATTGTTCGAAAACCTAGCTTACTTCTTTGCGCTGCGGTTAAATGTGTGCCACAAAACAAAATGTGGAATTGATGAAGATATTCCTAAACACCAACTTGCTTTTAACTATTTCGCAGATAAAAATTCAACAGTGAACAAAAAAGAAAGCAAAATAAAAAAGCTAACAGAAATAACGATACAACTTATCTTCCCTGAAGAAAGCTGACACCTGTGTATCCCTGCTGTGCATCCCTGCTGTGTTTGACGAGGCGATATTTTTGACCAAGTGGCATTTGTGACAAAAGGAAATGGTCTCACCAGATACATTGAATTGAACTGAAAGGCCGGCCAATGACAGCTAAGTCGCTTTTCTTTCAGGTGTTTTTCCAAATGAATAAATTTGTAATTTTGCATTGAAGATCGTTTACTTGCTTCTGTTTTCGGTAGTTTCATTTACCAAGCTGTGTAAAATCTCACTCTGAGAAAAAGCTTCCATATTGCGATGTCCGACGAATAAAAACTACTTCGGGTAATATCAATAAGTTAAGATTCAATTTGGACACAAGTAGGAAATCTAAGAAAGGAAAAAAAATAAAGAAACAGTATCTACACTTGATATCCAAATGGACAAATTCCAAAACTTCTTTTCAGGAATACTTTAACTTCATTTCACGGTAATGTTAGTCTGACTCTTTGGTAGCCCCAGACTTTGAGTTCACGGTTGGGTAGATGTTTTTTACAGTATGATGAAAATGATTTCCATCACATCAGCGGATTCTTCGAAAGCTTGAGTTTTCTGAGCTTACCTCAGACGTTCCCTTTCCTTTGTCGTGCCGGGCATCGCTTTCATCTCGCCCCAACATCTCTCGAATTATCTACTCTTGAAGGCTTAGAATAATAAGACGAAATTGTAGGTAAACTAGATGAAACTTACTAATATTTCTTAACTCTTGTAAAAGTGGAAAGGAAATTAATAGATTCTTGAGGCAAAGTTTTTTTTAATATTCTGTCGTCTGATTTGTTCTGTGTCGTAGAGAACCTATGAAATAAATAAGCTCTTGATGAACATAACTGAGTTAAAAACAAAGCGAATGAAAGGAAAAATGTAGTAAAATCAAAATGCAATCAAAGTCGAATGAAAAGGCAAAGCAACCGTACCAACCCTTTTTGTAACGAGTTTATTCCTGTGTACGCCTTCAAATAAAGGAAAAAGTTTATTTGTTCCCACGTTTAACTTATTAACACCAATTGGTCAATTTCCCATGTCCCCCAAATCCACACACCGTGACTATTTTCAACTGCCATAATGTGACATCAAGGGATGGTTTACCTGCTGACCTTCAGTGACTATTTACCCGTTCGCCATGCAGGGACACTATTCATCTTTTTTTAGCTGAACTATACCGTGCTGATAATTCATTACATGAAAAAAGAAACCTAATAACGATGAAGACAGAGACGACAATAATTATGATTGATGAAGACGATGCAGTACGACAAAGAAGTTGACGACCCACCGATAAGCTTTTTTTTCTTGATGTCTGATTTATGACGAACGCTTTACAGAACGTTCTGTTATCGTAAAAAAATAAAAGGACATGTCCTGTTGGTAGGAACAGATCTTTATAACGTCAGAGATAATTGACCTATATTGATACTTTTTAGTCATGACCACATTAGTTTGAGTTTTTACAAACTATAGTTGATCTCTGATGGATACCTCCTACAAAGACTGATAGCTCATCATAAGTTTTCCGTGTTATTACTTCTAGGGACTCATCAAAGCTTCTGACATTGGTGACACAAAGACCTTTTGTTAAGGCCCGGCACGCCTTCTTCTGAGGGCACAATACGCTTGGTGTGTAGTCTACGAGACAGCTCCACTTTCCCCCTTTTCTCTCGTGGAAAATTAAAAAGCATATCGTAAAGAGTGTCATGGGCAGTACTGAAACGTTTCATTCACTTCAAGCATTAATATATGTGGTACGTAGATCCAAAGTTGTTTCTGCGAAATACCGTTGTCTGCAGTATTTTCCTCCAAAAGAAGGCCAAATGAAGTTGAGATAACCGAACGAAGAGCGTTTTTGGAATTTGGTTAAAATCTTAGTGGTTATTGGTTTTAATCGGCAAAACTATGTCAGAAGTGTGGTGTGGAGAACCCTCACGGAAGTAATGGTCTGCGATATGTACCTGTGGCAAAAGCTCTCAAGCAAAGCTGGCCCACTCATAGTGAGGCTATATTCAATTTGCAATGGCAACTTTTATTTCGTGTTTTATCTTGTGCTTAATTAAAGGAAGACCCTGAAAAGGAAACAACAATTTATTGTAGTTCCCTCAGTAACATCAGAGGGTTTGTCATTCTAGCACTTGTCCCGAGAGTACTTTTTGTATTTCTCGTTAAAGTCACTCCTCTTGAAGCATTCGGTGGCAACTGCATCGCATTCGCACAAGGCAGAGCGGCATTTTCCGTTAATGCGGTAATAAGAGGCAGGTTCTGAGGGAAAATGAAATAATTTATGAGGTATAGGGTCTGTTGTATAAAGTGAAAAGCAACGCAAATTGGACTAAATGTTATAGATCAGTGTGTAAGATATAGATAAGAAGCTGGTTTACAAGGTAAAAGAAATTACTTTTTAAAACGCGGATCCTCTACTGAAGGAGACGAAATTTCCGAAATGTGGAAGTGCGTTTCGTATAAATAAAGGCTATGTGGGAAAACAAGCATTCCACTATTAAAGTATAGACAACAAACAACACGAAGCAAAAACAAATTAAAGTGAAACAGAGTAAAATCAAGAAACTATCAAAAAAGAAACGAAAAAAAACAAAACAAAACAAAACTAGTGAAAACCTTTTTGTACCAGTTAGATAGATCGGAAAACTTACTGCATTTAGTGGGTTTATTCTTTTCTGTTGTGTAGGACATAAAATACACTCCTGCCTCGAATGGACAGATTTCCGACTTTTGAATGTCATGGTAACAGTTGTCATGGTCGAAGCAACACCTATGAATAGATTGACTTGATTATTCAGTTGCTGCTCTCTACATGAAATAGTGCTCATTGTTTTTCCAGAGATAGTTAAATGAATCATTTCCATTTTTCCGAAAATGACAATAAGTACTTTTCCTAAGATAGCAGAGTATTGTTAAGGAAAAAAAATGTAAACTTTACCTTTGTTAGTTGTTGTAAAATATCAAAACAAAGCAAATGATGAAAAAAAGATTTAATAGCACCCACTACTATTTCTCATTTTTCTTTCTTCAATATATTGACGAAATTTTTAAATAATGCAATTTAAGTAAATCCAGGAGTGTACGAAAGGGAACGTGGAGTATCGTGTGTCTGCGTAAGAGAATGGGATTGGTTGTGGCGATTGGGGCGAGTTTAAGGCTTGGCAGCTCAGGACGGAATTGGGGAAGAGGCTTTTTGCTGAATAACGAACCTTTCGCAAACAAGGTTTTCTTATCCTCGGCTACAAGGGGTATACTTTTCTGTCTCTTTAATTACTTAGCATTAGTGGAGAGCCTGCACGATACTAAAAAAAGTCAATCAGTATTGATGATATGAAAAAAAGTTTGATGATCACCTGTCCAAATCATCCGCAGGGTCTCCTTTCCCACCAAAACCACAGTAGCAACCATAACCGTTATATCTCCATGGTTTTTTGTGAATGGTGTACCAAAGCATCTTTCCAAAGCCGGTAAGGGCCCTCTTTGACGCATTCTCATCTTCAAAATCTGCATAGCAATTTAGCAAGCATAGATGCATACATTAAAGTCGACTATAATCATGCAAGTGATAATTTAGGATAAACTGTACAGGAATTCGTGCTTCTAGAAGAAAAAGTGATGCCTACACTTTACTGATTTCATAAACTTAAAGTTCAACTCTTTCAAAATAAGATGTAACATTCTGTCGTGATCCTTTTCTAAGCGAAGCTCGACTGGAACATAAGTTATCTTGTAATGGCCAAAGTTCAAGCTTGAAGTTAAATTTGTCAATGAAACACTCACAAAATGCTTGACCAAGACCAAAATCAACATACCTCTATTTTAATTTAGGAAAGAGATGGCTTTAACATCAAACCTCTGAGTCTATTTCCACGACACGAGTAGGGATTAAGATATTTACTGGAGAGCATGAAATAGTTTGCTATGGCGCAAAGTGACGAGATACGTACCCGCTTCAAGGCCAGTCTCTGAGACGGCTGTAGGTATGGCGAAGACGCCCAAAGCAGTCGAAATCAGCAAAATGATCGCAGAGTTCATTATGAATCTGTTAGACAATTTTTCTTTTAGTAACAGAATTTCTAACTAGAGAGAAAACTTATGAGAAACTTAGGGGGATTGCTTAGAAGCCAGGCAGAAACGAAAGGAACTCATTATACTCCAGCCGCCGAGCTACATAATTAGACCGATTACCAACGTGGTGCAAGACTGAGTGTGACCAAAAGTAGTGTCTGGCTGTCACGACTGCAACTTTCTAAATTTCGGCGGGAATGGTGTAATATATATATATATAACCTTATAGTTTATTAACTGAAGAATATGAGAACTTTAGATCTGGCCTTGAATGATGAGATACCTCTCTGTGTGGCCAGATTCTGAAATGAAATTTGGTGAAGCGATTGCCCCTCCCACCAGAGCAATCGACACCAGTAAAATGACTTAACATTCCATAGTGAATTTGTAAACCCGACGGTCTGGATCAGCCAACCATATACAACACTTAGGTTTGGTTTATAAGAAACAATCATATTTAAGCGAAACAATTTATCGGCGAAATCTGAGACTTTAGCAATTTGTTTGGTCTTTTTTCGTTTCACACTTTTTCCCCCTAGATTTCGATTCTTAAAGACTCTTTCTTCTGATTAGCCAGAGGATTGAAGATTGCTTCTTTATTTGCTGGATTTGGTTTTTTTTTTTTTTTTTTTTTTTTGCGAGACTCAACTACCGGCCGAAAAATGCAAAATAACGATCACCATGGATGTACAGTGGATGGGTGGATAACGAGTTTCTCAAATCATTCTAGTTCTACGCAATTTTGAAACTATTCAATAATTCAATTTTGGTGGAGAGGGAACGTTTTAGCCCAAGTATCTGTATATTGCCAAGGCTAAAACTTGAGGAATCAGGAGCAAACATGGAAAAACCTGACTCTCCAGGACGATGCCGGTTTGTTGAACTTCATGTCAGAGGATTTGTTTGTTTAGGATGGAGAGAAATACAGAAACAGTGGCAAAATGTCAGAGAATCTTATAGGGAGTCCAACCGGCACCCGTCACTCAGTAATTGTCTTTTTGACTCTCTCCAATCTCAAAGTCCAAGCTACAAAGGTAGAGGCTAATCAATGTTTATCGTGAACTGGCCACAAATCCAAGCTGAATTGATGTACATGTACATGATTTTAAACGTTTTCCTTTGGCCAAAATGAAGCTATTTATAGCACTCCCGAGGTTGCGCAGCATTGATATCATTTAAGAACCACAGAGGCTCACCATCATCCATATTACATCGTGAGCAACAGTGATCTTCATTTGAACATTGTTACCCGTGTAATGCACCATGGGTCGCTTGGGCCCAGGCTGTGAAGAAGGCCGTGGGCCAGGGCTGTGCTTGTAGCAGAAAAAATGTAAAAATGACATTTTCCTCGGTCACTGAATGCGTCCCTGTAACATTGTTTTTATCGTTCGAAAACAAAGCTTACTTCTTTGCGCTGCGGTTTAATGTGTGCCACAAAAAAAAATGTGGAATTGATGAAGATATTCCTAAACACCAACTTGCTTTTAACTATTTCGCAGATAAAAATTCAACAGTGAACAAAAAAGAAAGCAAAATTAAAAGCTAACAGAAATAACGATGCAACTTATCTTCCCTGAAGAAAGCTGGCACCTGTGTATCCCTGCTGTGTATCCCTGCTGTGTTTGACGAGGCGATATTTTTGATCAAGTGACATTTGTGAGAGAAGGAAATGGTCTCACCAGATACGTTGAATTGAACTGAAAGGCCGGCCCATGATAGCTAAGTCGTTATTCTTTTTAGATGTCTTTTCCCAAATGAATAAATTTGTAATTTTGCATTGAGGATTGTTTATTTGCTTTTGTTTTCGGCTGTTCCATTTATCAAGCGTATTTAGAATCGTATTCGGAAAAAAGCTCCTATTTAACAATGTTCGACAAATAAAAACTACTGCGGGTAATATCAATAAGTTTAGACGGAATTTGGACTCAAAAAAGAAATCTAAGAGAGGAAAAAAAAAAAAAAAGAAAAAAGAAACAGTCTCTATACTTGGTAGCTAAATGGGCAAATTCCAAAACTTCTTTTCAGGAATACTTTTATTACACTTGTAATCTGAATTTGACTCTTTGGTACTCCCAGACTTAAAGTTAACGCCTCAGTTGACCGTTTTTACAATATGATGGAAATGATTTCGATTACATCAGCGGATTCTTCGAAAGTTTCAGTTTTCTGAGCTTACCTCAGACGTTCCCTTTCCTTTGTCGTGCCGAGCATCACTTTCATTTCACCCCAACAACTAGAATTATTTACTCTAGAAGGCTCGGAATAATAAGACGACATTGCAGGTAAAGTAGCTTAAACTTACCAATATTTCTTACTTCTTGTAAAAGTGGAAAGGAAATGAACAGATTCTTGAGACAAAGTTTTTTTCATTATTCTGTCGTCTGACTTGTTCTGTGTCGTAGAGAACCTATGAAATAAATAAGCTCTTGATGAACATACTCGAGTTAAAACAAACCAAATGAAACGAAAAATCAAATAAAATTAAAATGCAATTAAAGTCAAATGAAAAGACAAGCAATCGTACCAACTCTTTCGTAGCGAGTGTACGCCTTCAAATAATGGAAAAAGTTTATTTGTTCCTACGTTTAATTTATTAACTGGTTAAATAAAAAAGTCTCTTAACACCAATTGGTCAATTTTCCATGACTATTTTCAACTGCCATAATGTGACATTAAGAGATGGTTTTACCTGATGACCTTAAGGCCCGGCACGCCCTCTTCTGGGGGCACAATATTCTTGGTGTCTGGTCTACGAGACAATTCCACTTTCCCCCTTTTCCCTGGTGGAAAATTAATTTTAAAAAATTTCTTTTTAAAAAAGAAACGAAAAGAACTCATAATACTCGAGCCACCGAGCTACAAAACGATAATTTTGGAATGACTGCGTTTTCGCTTTAGGTCATTGCATAACGACATCAGCAGTTTAGCCCGACACACGTTCTGAAACTTGTGCCGGCTCTTTTTGAAAATGCCAACTGAGGACAGTGATCATGAATGCTTTCTGCAATGCGAATCACAATCATGATGATTCTAAAAACACCTTATAAGACGGCTAATGAAATAAAATAATTCGAAAACAGTTCTAACGCTTGCACCTTTCTTTAAGGCCCCTACCAAACTTCTACGTTTTCGTTTGAAAACAGAAACTTTTTCATGCGTTTTCGCTGGTCATCCTCTCTAAAACACCCGAAAACGTTAATGAAAACGGAGACTTTCGAAGAGAGTTTTAAAAACGAAGTTTTTAGCTTCACGGCTTTTCAGCCTCACAGTTGACAGGTTAACGTAAAGATCTTCGAAGCCTTGCGAGATTAAAGACTTCAAAGGGTCTCTTTTGGAACAAAATGAATGTAAGGTTGAAATGGTGGCTTTTGAAAGGAAGATCTTCGTTGCCGTAGGTCGTGGGTAGGCTGCAGGCTGCGGCCCGGCTCTATCTACACCCCGTTGAAAATAAAAATATTCATGAGTTACCGCGCATTTGCGTTAACTTTTGTTTCTACCACTCAACTTAACACATATGTCTTTGCATCACGGCTAAAACACCAAAAAGTCCGTATCTCTGACAGACAGTAATGTTTAAACTTACCTAGAAGGGGAAAAAGACCAATATACAGAAAGAAAAACCGAGTTACGTATTCAGTGGCTTAGGTGTTGGCATTTCTCGTGGATGAAAATGAAAATCGACAGCTGAAGATTTGCCACTGGCCGATTTTGGCCGTCTGCTGTCAGTAAGGACAAAGTCAATAAATGAGAATTTTGTAAATTGAAAATTGCGACCGTTGTTGTTTTAGTAATCATGATTCTACGCACTTTTCCATGTTAAGAATTAGCGCCAACGCACTCTACGATTGTTATTTGGGGATTGTCGATTCATTTATTTTCATTCATTAATGTAGTCGGCTTTTCTTCTTAGTAAAGGGCTATTGTGTTTATATGATAAACAAAATAATACATGGTTGCTTGTAGATATGGAATTTCTCTTCTCGTGTTCAACTCGACATCTCACTCGTTCACTGCGCTCACTCGTGAGCCGTCGAGCGAAAGACTCGAAGAGAAATTCCATATCTACGCGCGCCCGGCCATGTTTTATTCTCTATGTAAACTATACTTTTGTCTGGCACCCACTATATCGCAAAAGAACCCACAGTATTCTAGTTAACAAGAGATTTAGGGCTCTTGTTTTGACAAGGAAATAACTTAGAAGAGTCCAAAAGTCGATTAGAAAAGAAAGTAAATCTTCACTAAAAATTTTCATACCTGAGTATCCCTTCTTAGCTCTTCAAAAAATGAAAAAATGCCCCTTATTTAAGAACTGGAACGATTTCTGCTAACTTCCCGGGAAGTGGAAAACTGCTCAAAGAAAAGGAATTGTTAATAAGACTACTTATGATGTGAGCAATAAGAGGTGAGCTATTTTTCAGAATTTTTGCATTTACTTCATCGCAACTGGGAGCTTTGTTGGACGGTAAACTCGTAATAATCCTCTGCACATCGCCCTTGGTGATGGATTGAAACATAAACAAGGTAGTACTGTTTTGACTGGGGCTGCGACTGAGATTCACACGGATGAATTCCCTCTGTGCCTCGAATGTTGAGATGTGTTCCTTAGCAAGATTCGTGGCTTTCAAAGCTGTCACTTTTCCCACATTAGTTAATTTTCTGTTCTGTTCAATTTGATACTTGAAGAATTCAAACCGCCTTTTTGGGTCTTTTAGAATACTATCTTTTTATCGTCTTTCCCGTTAGGTCATAGAACGTGGCAGAATCAGCGAAAAAAACCGAACAAGCGAAGTATTTTTGAAGAAATCCAAATGCAAGTTTGTACGAAGGACTTAACAATTTTAATCATTGAAAGACTTGTTATGTCGCTATCTCGATTTCTTCTGCTGTATTCTGCCCCTTTATGAGAGACCCTCGTAGAACCAGTTCGAAAGTGGATCATGAAGTTCAGGGTCTCAATGGAGTAATGGGTTTTATTCCGCTAATGGAAAAAGTTTTGGCCAATTTACGATTGAGGGTTAATATATTTGATCATTTAGAAACAAAAAAAAAAGCTGTAAATTTGGTAGTGAAAAAAAGGAAAGAGGAAAAAAAAGTAACTGACATTGTTTTGATGAAATTAGACTTGTATTTTCATATTCAGGAAATGGTTGTGTAGAAATCATTAGGACCATACCTTTTTACTCTGACGCACTATTTAATTGGGAGGGGCTATGACATTATTTTTTGCGTGCTGCATGCTTGCTTTCTTGTGGAGGAAGAGTTGTAGGAAATGTTCGTGTTGTGATTAATGCAAGTGAAATTCTCTGTGAAGTGGAAATCGTCGATTTTTCCATAGTTATTAAATTACACCAATTATTAAAATTTATAAAACCCGAAGTTTACATGGAGTCTATGTACCAATGAATTACTGGGATGAACATGTTTACTTAAATATGACACCTACACATTGAAAAAGAAAACATTGTAAATAAACTATTTACGTGAATGGTTTGTGTATTTCTGGCAATTAAGTGAAACTGGTAAATCAATCCAGTCGCACAATCATGCACACTGGATCATTTTCTGAGAAGATGAAACTGATATTTGCTTCTGGTGTTAGTAGTTCTTCAGAAACTCGGGCTTTTAGTTTGACGCAGTAAACCGGGATTTAAGATAGTTCAATGTTCTGTAGGCCAGATACTATATGTTGACTTGTTTAGCGCATTGATAGAAAAGGTTTAAAATAATATACGGCTGGGTTATTTTTTCGAAACGACATCACCAAATCAACAGAAATAATCGGTAGGCGACATGTACTTGCGGCAGTTGCTACGAAGCCAGACTATACCAAAAGAGATCTTTGCTCTTTTATTCATCTAACAAACAATTACAAACTCAAAGCGGAAACAACGTTTGTGTTGTTTCATCATCACTTTTAGAAGGCTTGTCATTCGTACACTTGTTCTGTGGGTATTTTCTATACTTCTCTTGATAGCGATTCTTCTTAAAGCATTTAGCGGCAGCTGCATCGCACTTGCACAAGCGAAAGCGGCATTCTCCACTAAGCCAGTAATAAGATGCAGGTTCTGAAATAAAATGAGAGAGTTTAGTTGAAATACTGTTGCCTACTATTTTTAAAAGAAGTTTTTCCGGGAATTTTACAACAGAGGACCTATTCCAATATTTGTCTCAAGTTCTCCTATTGTACCACAGCTAACGAAATTTCTGAAATGTGCTCGTAAGTTCAGGTATATAGTAACGAATTATCTTAAAAAAATAAAAAGAAACCGGGAAACGAAAAGTGAGTAGAATAAAAGACAGTTCAACTGACATTAACTTATAAAAAAGCAAAAGCACATACATAAAAAAAAACAGCTAAACTACAATAAAAAGACGTTTTTACCTCCATGCACAGGGTTACTAGGTCATTTTCTTTGACTTACCGCATTCGGTAGGGTGATCCGATTTTGTTGAGTAGGGAAGAGAATAAATTCCTTTCTCGAAAGGGCAAACCTCCGCCTCTAAAATGTCGCCATAGCAATTGTCGTGAACTAGGCAACACCTGAAAATAGATTTGTCCACTTTTTAATGTTGTTCTTGGTGTCTATCAATCAGTGTGGAGAGGGGGGGGGGGGGGTAACAGCGCTTGTCTAGTAGGAAAGTATGCTTCATTATCATCTTCTAACAGCTTTATAAGCGTATACTCCTTTTAAGATGGTGGAGCATGATAGGTTAATAGATTCCAAGGGTCCATTTCCATTCAAAGTCGGTTTTGTCGACTATTCCACCCAACTATTTAAATGAAGTAATTCCATCATTGGATTTAATCCTGTGGTTTTCAAAATGGAACGGACAGTACATTTTTCTCTCCCCTCAACTTTTTAATTTAATCATCACGCAGGGTACTAGGAAAATCAGTAATGATGATCTAAAGAAAGCTTTGTTAGATCACCTGTCCAAATCATCCACGGGTTTGCCTTCCCCACCAATTCCACAATAGCAGCCATAACCATTGAAATCAAGGGGATCTCTTTCAGTAACGAGCTTAACCATCCACCCGAAGGAAAGGACACCCCTCTTAGTCGCCATCGCACTTCCCACATCTGCTAAGCAATTAACAAGTATATCTAACTTTTCAAAACATTGTTTTCATGGGTGATAAGTTGCAATTATGCTTTGTGTCTCGAGAGGAAACACAGCTGATCTGCTCTCTATTGGTTTCACACGCTAAAACGTGAAAGGTTTTTTTACATAAGACGTCTTAAATATGAAAGCGATCTTCGCAGTAATAAACACTACTTCTACAGTAGTGAAAATCAGGCCCGAAAAAGATTCAGGTCTGTACGAAATTTGAACCCCTGACCTCTGCGATACCGGTGAAGCGCTATACCAACTGAGCTGACAAGCCAACTGGGAGCTGGTTACTATGTTGGTTCCAAATAAACCCGTGAGGTGATGAATAAATGACTGTGAATATATGAAAATCATGTGTGTGAACTGCGGATAAAGACGTAAATGTGAAAGCGATTTTATTTTCACTACTGCTCGAATAGTGTTTATTACTGCGCATATCGCTTTCATTTTCACGTCTTTATCCGCAGTTCACAGATTTTCATTTATTTTTTCTCAAAGGGCACGGTAACGAATCCTGCAATCTGATTGGTTCTTTGCGCAGTCCGTATTTTCCCATCTCTGCCCACGGGCAATGGTAATGCTTTCGTGAGTCGCCGAGTACATCCCTACCGTCGTTGACGCGAGCAAAAACTCTATGGAGCCTCCTTAAGCAAGAAACTAAAACAATGAGACGGATTACCGACATGATGCAAGACTGAGTGTGTCCAAAAACGGTATCTGGCTATCACGACTGCAACTCTCTAAATTTGGGCGTAAGCTATGTAACCTTATAGTTTATTAACTAAAGAACATGATAACTTTAGATCTGATCTTGAATGATGAGATACCTACCTGTGTGGCCAGATTCTGCAACGAATTTTGGTAAAGCGATTGCGCCTCCCAGAGCAGTCAGCATCAGGAAAATGACCTTAGATTCCATCATGAATCTGTAAACCTATCAGTATAGATTAGCCAACGGCAACTCTTATGTTTGGTTAATATGAAACAATCATATCTAAGCGAATCAATTTATTGCTAAAGTCTAAGGCTTCAGCAATCTTTTTTCGTCTTTTCCCGTTTCGCCCTTTTTTTTAGATTTCTTAAAGCGTCTTTTTCCGATTAGCCAGAAGATTGAAGATTGCTTCTTTACTTATTTGATATTGGCTTTTTGCGCGACTCCACTTCTCGGCCGAAATATGTAAAATAACAAGCACCGTTGCCTACGATGTACGTTGGATGGATGAGTGGATGAACAGTTGGATGAATGGAGAACGAGTTTTTTCAATCATTCTAGTTCCATGCAATCTTCGAATTATTCAAGAATTCAATTTTGCTGGAGAGGGAACGTTTTAGTCCAAGTATATGTACACGAGCAGAAATGGAAAAACCTGCATCTCCGCACCGATTCCGGTTTGTTGAACTTCATGTCAGAGGATTGGTTTGTTTAGGATGGAGGGAACTACGGAAACAGTGGCAAAATGTTAGAGAATTCCATAAGGAATCAAACTAGCATCTATCATTCAGTAACTGTCCTTTTGACTCTCTCCAATCTCGAAATCCAAGCCACAAAGGTAAAGGTTTGAAAATTTTCATCGTTCGGCAACAAATGTTTCCTACGCCATTACCCATATCATTCCCCGGAGAGATACAGGCTAATCCATATCTATCGTGAACTCCGACAACAAATCAAAGCTGAATTGATGTACGTGTACATGATATTAAACGTTTCCCTTTCGCCAAAATGAGAAACAGTAATCTTTATTTGAACATTGTCGCCCGTGAAATGCGCCCTGAGTCGCTTGGAAGCTAAGGCCGTAAGCCAGGGCTGTGCTTGGAGCAAAAATGTGTTAAAAATGACATTTTCCTTGGTCACTACATGCGTCTCTGTAACGTTGTTTTTATCACCCGAAAACAAAGCTTACTTATTTGCGCAGCGGTTTAATGTCATTTCTGTGTGCTACAAAACAAAATGTGGAATTGATGAAGATATTCCTCAATACCAACTTGCTTTTGACCATCTCGCAGATAAAAATTCTTCAGTGAACGAAAAAGAAAGCAAAATGAAAAAGCTAACAGAAATAACGATGCAACTTATCTTCCCTTAAGAAAGCTGGCACCTGTGTATCCCTGCTGTGTATCCCTGCTGTGTTTAACGAGGCGATATTTTTGACCAAGAGGTATTTGGAAGAGAAGGAAATAGTCTCACCAGATACATTGAATTGAACTGAAAGGCCGGCCAATGACAGCTAGGTCGTTTTTCTTTCAGGTGTTTTTTTTCCAAATGAATAAATTTGTAATTTTGCATTGATGATCGTTTGATTGAAGAAACAGTCTCTACACTTGGTAGCCAAATTGGCAAATTCCAAAACTGCTTGTCGGGAATACTATAATTGGTTTTGTAATCTTAATCTGATTCTTTGGTATTCCCAGACTTCGAGTTCACGGTTGTGTAACTAAACTCTAGGGAAAGGTTGGAGGGTCGTTGAACTGATATCCACATATGAATTAACGAACGTACAATCCAATATGATTTATTCCAATAGCAGTGTTCGATAACGTCAAACGATCGTCCTCTCCGTACGCCTAAGAATAGTTGGAACTTGACGCAGTGAAATTCGCAGAATAGTGACTACTTCAAAAACATTCGATTCGCAACACAACAACGTGATACTGTCACAAAGCACAAGGTTCAGAAATATGATCCGAAAATGTCACTAAGATCTAATTTTAGATAATACCTGGCCCGACAGCAGTTACAGGTTGGGTAAACGTTTTTTACAGTATGGTGAAAATGATTTCAATTACACCAGCGGATTCTTCGAAAGCTTCAGTTTTCTGAGCTAACCTCAGACGTCCGCTCTTCCTTGTCGTGCCGGGCATCGCTTTCATTTCGCCCCAACATCTCTCGAATTATTTACTCTAGAAGGCTTGGAATAATAAGACGAAATTGTAGGAAAATTAGCTGAAACTTACTAATATTTCTTACCTCTCGTAAAAATGGAAAGGAAAAGAATAGATTCTCGAGGTAAAGTGTTTAGATTATTCTGTCGTCTGATTTGTTCTGTGTCGCAGAGAACCTATGAAGTAAATAAGCTCTTGATGAACATAATTGAGTTAAAACAAAGCAAACGAAACGAAAAATCGCATGAAATTAAAATGCAATCAAAGTCGAATGAAAAGACATGCAACCGTACCAACTCTTTCGTAGCGAGTGTACACCTTCAGACAACGGAAAAAGTTTATTTGTTCCCACGTTTAATTTATTAACTAGTAAAATAAAAATGAAGTCTCTTAACACCGATTGGTCAATTTTCCATTTCCTCTAAATCCACACACTATGACTATTTTCAACTGCCATAATGTGACATCATGGGTTGGTTTTACCTGTTGACCTTCATTGGCTATTTATCCGTTCGCAATTGGGAGACACTATTCATTTTTGTTTGAGATGAACTACACCGTGCTGATAATTCGTTACATGAAATAAGAAACCTAACACCGATAAAGACGGATATGACAATAATTATGACTGATGAAGACGATGCTACGACGACAAAGATGATGACGACCCATGCCACCGATAAGCATTTCATTATTGATGTCAAATTTATGACGAACGCTTTAAGGAATGTTATGCTATCCTATACAAAAAAGAACGACATGTCCTGTTAGTATGAACAGATCGTCATAATGTCAGAGATAATTGACCTATATTGATACTTTTTAGTCGCTACCACATTGGTCTAAGTTTTCACAAATTAAAGTTGATCTGATGGATTACTCCTACAAAGACTGATAGCTATTGATGCATTTCCGTGTTATTACTTCTAGGGACTCGTCAAAGCTTCTGACATTGGTGACACAAAGGCCTTTTGTTAAGGCCCGGAACGCTTTTTTCTTAGGGTACAATACGCTTGGTGTGTGGTCTACGAGACAATTCCACTTTCCCCCTTTTCTCTCGTGGAAAATTAATAAGCATATCTTAAAGAGTGTCATTGGCAGTACTGAAACGTTTCACTCGATTCAAGTATTAATTTATTTAGTACGTAGAATCATGTTGTTTCTACGAAATGCCGTTGTCTGCAATATTTTCTTCCAAAAGAAGGCCAAAGTTGAGATAACCGAAAAAGAGCGTTTTTGGAATTTGGTTAAAATCTTAGTGGTTATTGGTTTTAATCGGCCAAACTATGTTAGAATGCGGTATGAGAACCTTCAAGGAAGTAATGGGTCTGCGATATGTACCTGTGGCAAACGTTCTCAAAGAACGCCAGCCCAATCAAAGTGAGGCTATAATCAATTCGCAATGGCAACTTTTATTTCGTGTTTTATCTTGCGGTTGATTAAAGAAATACTTTGACAGAGAAACAATAATTTATTGTAGTTCCTCCAGTAACATCGGATGGATTGTCATTCTAGCACTTGCTCTGGGGGTATTTTCTGTACTTCTCGCGCGGAATCCGAAGGTCTGAGGTTCAATTCCTCATGGGGAATCAGAATTCTTTCTTTGTCCCACGCTCTTGACAAGACGAAAAAAACAGAGCTCATCATCTCTCTTACTTTATATATGTCTATTTTAATTTAGGAAAGTGATGACTTAAAAATTTAAACCTCTGAGTCCATTTCCACAACACGAGTAGGGAACAAGACGTTTATTAGAGAGCATGAAATATATAGTTCGCTATGACGCCCAAAGCAGTCCAAATAAGCAAAATGATCGTAGAGTTCATTATGAATCTGTAAGCCAATGATGTGGATCAGCCTACTTCTTCTTTTAGTGACAGAAATTTCTAACAAGAGAGAAAAATTATGAGAAACTTAAAAGCATTACTAACAAGCCAGGAAGAAACGAAAAGAACTCATAATCTCCAGCCGCGCCGAGCTACAAAGCGAAAATTTTGGGAGGCCTGCGTTTCAGCTCTTTTAGAGGAGGTCAATGTATTGGTCATTGCATAACAACATCAGCAGTTTAGCCCAACACATGTTCTGAAACTTGTGCCGGCTCTTTTTGACAATACAGTTCTTGCGCTTGCACCTTTCTTTAAGGCCCCTACCAAACTTCTGCGTTTTCGTTTGAAAACGTAACCTTTTTTATGCGTTTTCGCCGGTCATCCACTCTAAAACACCTGAAAACGTTGATGAAAACGGAAAGTTTTAAAATGGAGCGTTTTGACAACGGATCGTTTTTAAAACGCTCCGTTTTAGGGTTGACAAGTGAAAAGGGTGACGAAGAAATTTGCAGATGGGATCAGCTCCAATCCTAAACGTAACATCTGTCCATGATGGCAGATAACCTTGTGTTGTTGTACTTGCTGTATTCGAGCTTTGTTCATGTCATCAGCTTAACATCGCCTTGTACAATGTGAAAGCGTACTTAAGACGAAGCTGGACAGGGATCATAAAAAGATTAGTCTTATTATCAGTTTCAGGTCCCACTCGTTTCACCATTTTCGGCCGTGTTGTGTGGACAAGTGAAGATGCTGTCAAATATGAGTACGAGGACTTTTAAAATTGAAAGAATGTGTTTAGGACTTAAAATTACGGAATTTTGACTTTCAATGTAAATCTGAAGAATTCGAACCTAAGCCGGCAATGGGGCCGCGTTGTTGTGGTTCACATAATGAAGCATTTTCGATAAATTTGTCCTTTTTCAAACTCTTATTGAAAAATATCTCACATGATACTGTGAAGCTTGATGAATTCGATTTTGAGTTTTTCAAGTAGCAGGTTTTGTTGAGCGGCAGGTCTGGGGTACAGAGCCCATTTCGCGGCTGAAAGGTCTACGTAAAGATCTTCGCAGGCCTTGCGAGATTAAGGACTTCAACGAGTCCCTTTTGAGAGAAAATGAATATAAGGTCGAAATGGTGGCTTTTGAAAGGAAGATCCTCGTTGCCGTAGGTCTTGTGGTAGGCCGCGGGCTCTGGCCCGGCTCTCTCTACACCCCGTTGAAAACAAAAAATTAATGAGTTACCGCGCTTTTGCGTTAACTTTTGTTTTTACCACTCAATTTAACACATATATCTTCGCATCACGGCGTACTCCTCTCTATGAATGTCACAAAACATTTAAGAAACTAGAGATAGTCCTTTTAATAAAAATTTTACTGAAAGCTTCCTTAAAGATAGCTTTGAGCTTAATTATGAGAACGCCCAACGGCAAACGAATAATTTTTCGTTCGAGCTTCTTTTTTCTACCTTAGTTAATAAATACCTTTTTACCTAATTATGTCCTTAGGGTCAGTTGTTATCTTTACATTTTCCTCCGACACTGCATACGTCCCTGAAATATTGTTTTTATCGCTCGAAAACAAAGCGTACTTCTTTGCGCAGCAGTTTAATGTCATCTCTGTGTGTTGAAACTTGCTTTTAACAATTTGCAGATAAAAATTCAACAGTGAACAAAAAGGAATGTAAAATGAAAAAGCTAACAGAAATAACGATGCAATTTATCTTCCCTGAAGAAAGCTGGTACCTGTGTATCCCTGCTGTTTACCCCGCTGTTTACCCTGCTGTGTTAAACGAGGCGATATTTTTGACCAAGTGACATTTGTGAGAGAAGGAAATGGTCTCACCAGATAAATTAAACTGAACTGAAAGGCCGGCCAATGACTGATAAGTCGTTTTTCTTTCAGGTGTCTTTTTCCAAATGAATAAATTTGTAATTTAGCATTGAGGATCGTTTATTTGCTTTTGTTTTCGGCGGTTTCTTTATCAAGCCATGTGAAATCGAACTCGGGGAAAAAGCTTCTATATTGCAATGTCCGACAAATGAAAACTACTGCGGGTAATATCAATAGGTTTAGATGGAATTTGGACTCAAGTAAGAAATCTAAGAGAGGAAATATAAATAGAAACAGTATCTACACTTGCAAGCCAAATGGGAAAATTCCAAAACTTCTTTTCAGGAAAACTTCAATTTCACTTTTAATCTTAATCTGACTCTTTGGTACTCTGGTACTCCCAGACTTCGAGTTCACGGTTGAGTAGACTCTTTTTTACAGTATGATGATTTCGATTACATCAGCGGATTCTTCGAAAGCTTCAGTTTTCTGAGCTTACCTAAGACGTTTCCTCTCCTTTTTCGTACCAGTTATATCACTCATTTCGCCCCAACATCTCGAATTGTCTACTCTTGAAGGCTTAGAATAATAAGAAGACATTGTAAGTAAACCAGATGAAACTTACTGATATTTTGTTACCTCTTGTAAAAGTGTAAAGGAAATTAATAGATTCTTGAGGCAAAGTTTTCTTATTTATTCTGTCGTCTGATTTGTTCTGTGTCATAGAGAACCTATGAAATAAAATGAAAGGAAAAATGAAATAAAATCAAAATTCAATCAAAGTTAAATGAAAAGGCAAAGCAATCGTACCAACCCTTTTTGTAACGAGTGTATTCCTGTGTACACCTTCAAATAATGGAAAAAAAGTTTATTTTTTCCCACGTTAAACTTATTAACACCAATTGGTCAATTTTCCATGTCCTCCAAATCCACACACTATAACTATTTTCAAGTGCCATAATGTGACATCAAGAGGTAGTTTTACTTGTTGACCTTCGATGGCTATTAACCCGTTCGCCATTCAGGGACACTATCCTTTTTTTTATATGAACTACACCGTGCTGATAATTCATTACATGGAAAAAGAAACCTAATAACGATGAAGACGGAGACGACAATAATCAGGATTGATGAAGACGATGCAATGCGCGACAAAGATGATGACGACCCACCGATAAGCATTCCTTTTTGCAATTGATATCTGATTTATGACGAATGCTTTAAGGAACGTTCTGTTATCCTAAACAAAATAGAAAGACATGGCCTTTTGGTAAGAACAGATCGTTATGATGTCAGAGATAATTGACCTATATTGATACTTTTTAGTCGCGACCACATTGATTTGAGTTTTTTTCGAATTAAAGTTAATCTCTGATGGATAACTTCTACAAAGACTGATTGCACATGATGCATTTTCCGTGTTATTACTTCTAGGGACTCGTCAAAGCTTCCGACATCAGCGACACAAAGGCCTTTCGTTAAGTCCCGGCATAATACGCTGGGTGTGTGATCTACGAGACAACTTCACTTTCCCCTTTTCTCTCGTGGAAAATTAATAAGCATATCTTAAAGAGTGTCATTGGCAATACTGAAACGTTCCATTCGCTTCAAACATTGATATATGTAGTACGTAGAACCGTAGTTGTATCTGCGAAATACCGT